AAGCACTCATCATAGCAGTTCCATGAAATCAAGAATGTTCCAGAGATGTGAAATTATATTTTTTCAGATCATAAAACATAAAGTACACAAAAATCATTAATTTAAGTAAGATATTTTAGTATCCGCGTATTTAAATCCGGAAAGTACATTATTTGTACACTTAAGGAGATTAATGGCAACTACCAGATACGTGCGTTGCCTATAAAGATTAGCGTTACTCAATCTCGTGATGCATGTTACTATTATTAACATGCCTATTATTAATTACATAATTTTCATTACATAATATTTGATTGACCTATAGTTAGGTTTTCTTTTTTCCTCAGCCGAATATATACTACCATGCAACAGGAAAGACCCAAAGATCGATACATGCTTTCTTAACATGCTTGCCCACATCCATCCGTATTTGGTGAAAGGTGAGTAAAACGGCAATTTATCAAATAGCGGAATACATGACAGAAAACATAAACTACATAATCGCATCACTTCAACAGTATTACCGTATCTTTGGTTGACGTCAATTTGTTTTACAATATAATTAAAAATTTTAATAAAAAAAAATAGTACACATCAAAGGATTAAAAGAACATGTAAATTTTAGGCATTATATCAATTTTTTGCTTAAAAATAAGTTTAATTTCATTTATCATAAAATTGTATTTCTTTATTAATATTTTGTTTAAAATTACAAGCATACAATTTGTCACTTCTATTTATAGCTGAGTAGTCAATTTAGATTTGCCTTGTAATATTTGCTTAAATAGTAATTCGATAAAAATAACATCGATCAATGAAAAATATCAATTACTATTAAAATATCACTTTGCAATTTGGACACGTTCCCGTGTCAGACCTAAAATACGAAATTATATAACATGAAAATTTACATATATATGAGTTCGACATTGATGTAGTAATAATGTGTCAAGTGTACAGTAAATCGTACGTGTGTAAGTCTGGTTTAAGAATGAAATGAATAATCCTTTCAAAATTCAGCCGTTTATTCAGCAACTCCTTAAATTATTGTCTATAAATATATTTTATACGTCACAATTATTTAACCATGATTATAAAATTATATTACATAAAATTATAAATAAATTTATTGTATGTATCTGCATCACAACTCTGTTTAGCAATATAGAAAATTCATGCATTAATTAGAATATGTAATAGTTACTAAATCACTATGTATGACCTTTCAGTAGATACGTGTATATGTGATTGTAAAAATTTCAAATGTTCGATTTATAATTCAAAATCTCTCTCTCAAGATTAAGTCTACTAATTTTAAGTAAACTAGTTTTAATCGAAAATTCGATATTACAAATACACTATATAGACTTTTCATTACAAAATTTACTGAGAAGTTTGAATCGAAAGTATGACTGACATATGCGGAAAGACCGGTTTCATTAAGTATCTAAAAATTTAGTTAGATCTATAGAAAATAATCTATAGAAAAATCTATAGAAAATAATCTTATTAGATCATCAAAATAATTATATACGACGCTCAAACTGGTTACTAGAATGTCAAAACATTGTGCAGCATTATTTATTATGTTTAAGCATCTTACATAATTATCTTGATAGTGGAATAAAATTCATCCTATAATCAAATATATCCTATGAAAATCCGTGCATTGCCGTTTTCATTGTGATTGTGAGTTAATCGAAAATGGATTTAGTTATTCTCAATTGTGAGCTAATCAGAAATGGATGGTTTCTAATTGGATTTTTTTAATAGGTATCCCGGAATTGGATGTGCCTCCTATAGAGCCACTGGTAATTCCCGAACTAAAGATGGAAAATGGTCAAGGTCCAGTGCGTGTTAGGGCGATTTTCACTAACATCACCACAATAGGACCAGGAAACTACAGTGTCAACAAAGTACGAGTGAACATATCATCATATAGATTCGATATGCATCTTTCGTTGCCGAAGATTGATATTCATGGTAGCTATGATATAAACGGAAACGTACTTCTCTTCCCCATTCAAAGTCACGGCGATTTTTGGGCATTATTCGGTAAGAATTCTCATAAGGTATAACAAAACATTATATATATATATAGATATATAATTATACAATTTATTAAATAAATATGCCGGTCTTCTGATTTGCATATTCACACTTTGGTATTTTAGGTGACGTAAAAGCAATCGCTCGCATACAAGGTGTCGAGGAAGTGAGAAATGGTATTCGTTATGTGAAGATTTCTCGATTGCTAATCGATTTTAGTCTTGGTCGAGCCAGATTTCGCATAAATGATCATCTGAACGGCAACAACGTTATCGGCCAGGCGATGAATCAATTCCTAAATCAGAATATTAAAGAAATAATTGAGGAAATGAGACCAGCAGCCAGCTCAAGTATCGCTAAGTACTTCAAGGACTTCCTGAACCGTGTTTTCACCAAAATGCCCCTAAAAGTTTGGATGCATGATGCGTAATAGTTCTCAATTTCCGAGGACATACAAAGTTCACACACGATATCCATGACTGCATTACTTCATCAAAACATGAACGTTTCGTAATTGCAAAAAGATATCTATACAGTATAAATTATTTCAGCAATATTTTTGGAGCATTGCAATGTTGCCGCAATGTTGCTGCAATATTGCTGGAATAATCTACTGTATGGATATCATAATCCTTACTATAAAAATACATAATATAAATAGTGAGTAGTAATCAGTGTAGTGTAAGTAGTGAAAAGTAATCATAATTTGTTAAGATTTATAATGCGTAAAAAATATTCACAAATAGCGAGCACTGATGAAACATATAATTTATCGTCTAAATAAGCTCAATTTTTTTTAATGCAACTTACACTTATTTTAAATTAAAATAAATCATAACTATACACAAATTTATGTATTCAAACCGATTTGAAAGTAATCTATATGTTTGTGTGTGTGTGTGTGTGTGTGTGTGTGTGTGTGTGTGTGTGTGTGTGTGTGTGTGCGTGGGTCGATAAAATGTAAACAATGTTTCCAAACTTTGTTTTATGTTTCTGAATTTTGTTTTATGTTTTTGTCAAGTTTGAATTATTAAATTTTTTTGTTAATTGATATAATAATTTGCGATTCACAAACATTTATATTCTAGTTGTATTAAATGTTCAATTTTTTCAAATTATTACGTTGCAATTTATCATGTCATAAGGTTTATCATTAGGATATAATGTAGAAACATCGTCAATTGTATAAAATTATAGATATATTGAGTAAAGGTTAAGTAAGTGTTAGTAATTTTATCACGTTTATACAAATTTGTCTTCAACGAAATAAATATGTCTACCTCGAAATAAATAAAATGTAACGGTACAACATATTTACTCTTAAGAAAAAATTATTATAAGTTAAAAAAGAATCTGTCATCGAATTAATTCTAATTATAGAAAAAAATCAATAATTGGTAATAAAATGTTTCTCAAAATCCCTTTCTTTTCAGATATTTATGTTTATTACTTTTTATTAAGGGAATAAAACAATAAAATTTTCAAAAAATCGAAAAATTTATTTTTATTTTTTTCAAAAGATTGATGTCTTAAAAATATGCTCTAAAAAGTTTTTATGAAATTCGAAATATTTCTCGAGTTATGAGAGCTTTAGCGAACGGGCATGGTACTATAATAAAAGTACGCATCATCTGATTTGAGAAAGAAACTGTGCGCAGATATTAGATAGCCAAATAGATAGATAGAGAGATAGATAGATAGATAGATAGATAGAGAGACAGATAAAAAGAAAAATTAGACAGATAAGATTTTTATTAAACAATCAATACTGAAACTTTAAACTGAAACTTTAACACTTTTCTCGGAACTATTTTTTTTCAACTAGCGGCATCTATAATTTTCAATCGATCAGCCTCAGCTTTGAACAGTAGTTTCACAAAATGAATAATAGGAATTCTTTTATTGATTATTAGTTTTCGAAAGGCGAGATGTTTAAGAGGCTCAAAATATAGTGAAATTAAAATTTTTTTTAAATGCCATTATATAAAAAAGAATTATTTTAAAAAATCGCTACGCTTAACTGAAATTATTATACACTCATACAGATTCGAAATTTTTAAGAAATTTTCATTTCAGATAATTATAACTTGAATTCTTTACATCACCGATAGACCATGTTTTTTGAACACGGAAGTCTCACAATGCAACATCGCCATGTATTTATAATATATTCAGATATACAAAAATTCTTAAAATGTCTTCAAAGTATATTGATATATCAATTCATATTTTTTCTAAGATTTATATTTATTTTTTAAAAAAATTGACAAAGAAAGATCTTTTTAAGGCCTTTACTCTATTTTATCCTCTTAATATGCGACTATGAGTGCGTTTCACTTCTATTCGCAACGCTAATGGAATCATTTCATTGTTATTTATCAAATGTTAAACAAGGACAAATGATGTTCGCTAGCATCGTAAGCGATCAAATGAAACGCACCTTGTGTGTATATGATATTGTACTTAGAAACATAAAATTCAATAACTTCAATTTATTGTAATTTTATATGTAAAAATATTATAAAATAAAACTTATTCTGAAGTTGAAAGGCCTCACATAAAGGAATTGATTGAAAGCTAAAATTGTTATAGAATTATATTAGACGACTTATTGTTAGACACAATTAGATTTTACAAAAATGGTATAGCTCAAGAATTAATTTTAAAAAATCTTTGTTTGACGATTCGAAAGATGTTCAAGTCTTCGTTAATACACGAATAAAATGTAATTTCTTAGATAATATTATATCCAACAAGAGCAAGAACATGTAAAAGCGATTATATAAAAAAGCATAACATAGATAAATGAAGTACTTTAAATGGAATAAAGTAGGCACACCAATCCGCTATGCCAGACGCTCGTAGATTCACACCCTGTAACACGCTTGCAAGACGCTCGGCAGCGCGTTGGCCGATAATAAAATTAGAATCGTGGTAGGACATATCATTCGACCTCCGACCCTCTTCTCCCAGTTCTTGCGAAGTCCTTAAAAGTGAACAATGTCTTGAGTAGTGCGGCAACGACGCTCAATCACACACGTAGTAAACACGTGTGCGCGCCACGAATCAGACGAGACAAACTTATCTTACTGTGCGTGTGTGTATAAGTATTGTGTATTAAATATGTCTATTTACCGTAAGAGTGAATAGTCTTTCAAACGGCTAAATCAGTGCCTGTCACACTTAAATTCTTCGAAATTCTTCGATCCGGATTTTCTGCTGGTTGAAGTGACTGATACAGTGCATCCGATCTCGCGACGCACGAAATTCATACGAGTGTGACGAAGTGTACTAAATTAAATCGACATTATGGTTAAATTCACCAAGCGACAATGGCTTACTTTAATTGTCATCAGTATCGCCGATTTCGCAAATGCCATTTGCGTCTCATTGCAAGCACCGTTCTATCCTCAAGAGGTAAAGATCGATGATTATGGATTCTTCAAGGAAATTACGTTAATGAGACGTATCTGATGGAAAAATTTTTAAGAGAAGCTATATAGATTGAGATAAGATCTTAAAAATATTTAGTTTTTCACAGATATTTGTGAAGATCAGATAGAATAGCTTTGTTTATGTAAAAAACCAAGAAATTCCCTCTCCCTTCAAACAACGCTATTCTACGTCGTATACTGCGAATATTTACGAAAAATTAAGAATTTTTAGATCTTGTCTCAATCTATGTAATTTTTTTGTACTTTTTCGTTAAAAGTTTTTTTTCGCCAGGATAGAAACTAGTGATAATCGTAATTTTTATTTAAAATTCCTGATGAAAATTTTTCTCAAAATTTTTCATATAATTTTTAAAAATTTCTATATAATTTTATAACTTTCTCACATTTTTTATACAAATTGAAACATTTTTCAGAAAACCTACATCTTTTCTCAGAATTTTTCATATATGTTAATTATGAAATATCATTAGATTTCTAAGATTTTTTGCAAGTATAATTTCTGAGCAAATGGTATAAAATCTAAAAAATTTTTAAATAGCTTTTAAAAATTATAGGATGAAAAATTTCAGAATATTTCAGAATTCAATTGTATAAAAAATTCTGAGAGAATATCTAAACTTTCCGAATATTTCTGAATATTTCTAAAAAATATTTCATTTCGTATAAAAATTATAAAAAAATTTTTATCAGAGATATCATCTGAAAGAAATATCATCTTTCGATCTTCTTTAAGTTTCTTTCGCGCAATTTCAAGTGATAAAGATGTTTATCACTTAAAATTGCACGCATTTATAGACATAACAAAATTATTATCATTGACTTATGGTACCACTAAACATAAATAGTCTACTTCGTAATTTATGAATTATGAAAGAAATTTTAGCCTATGTTATTGTCGACAAGATAGAATTTCAAACGTAGTGACTGAAATGTTTAAAATTGAACTTGCTGTCCTTGTTATGTATGCAAAAGGTTATCAGAAATAGAATACATAAACATTTCTTTTGAATTTGAAAATACAAAAGAATATGTAAGTTCATGATTTATCGTGTTTCAGAAAAGAAGATTTCATATAAAAATAGCATTTCATTAACAACCGAGAGTTTTTAAAATCAAATATATATTCTCTCACGGATAATTCTCTCACGTTTTGAATCTTTCATCAATTTAGCGCACTTAGACTCGATCAACATTATTTTGACTTTAAGCGAAGTTTAAAGATCTCTCTTTCTTTTTTTAAAACTAATAGAGAGATAGAAAGGAACAGAATTTTAAGTCACTTAAAATAAAAGTTGATGGAATCTCTCAAACAACATTAACATTTTCAATCGTTATTGCATTATTTTTTATTTTTTTACAACTTTCTTCTTTCGCATTCCGTTTATTAAATTATAAATTATTTAATGATGTATAAAAATATAATATAAATTATAACATAATATACAATAGAATATATATAAACATTATATAAAATATATGTAAATAAGGTGTTCGATAAATTTTGACAATACTTGTGAGCAGATAGAGCAGACTGAACTGAGTCAAAAAAGTTCTTTATTCTTTATTTTTCAATTTTTGCAATAATTAACAAAATTCATTAAGCTAAAAGCGTCGAATATTAGTCTTCATAATTTTTTACTATCAACTTTACAGAAAAACGACAAAAGACAAAAATTGTTTATTTTTTTTTATAGCTTTAAGATTTTTTTTCAGAATTTTTTATCTACCTTTTAGTACTGCATTTTCTTATTAGCAATTATTTTTATTAACATGAGAAAATGCGGTACTAAAAAAATCTGAAAAAATTCTCAGAACTCTATGAGAAAAAAAGAAACAATTTTTGTCTCTTGCTATTTTTCTAAAGTTAATAGTACTTGAATAAAAAATTGTTAAAGATCAATATTCAACAATATTTAGTAATTAATATCTTGTTAACTATTGCGAAAATTGCAAAATAATAGAAGACTTTTCAACTCAGTTTAGTTCACTCTATCTGTTTATGAGCGCTTTGTCAAAACTTATCAAACATTCTATATATATGTTTTAATATACGTATCCTTTCATGTATCATTAAATTTTGAACAGATTTAATTATCAATTTTGCAATAATTGAAATATTAGACATGATAAAACAATTAATTGGTAGAAGTTAATAAAATTACATTTTTACAATATTTGGAGCATTTTCAGAGGCGTCGAATTATCTGAATTCAGATCATTTTTTTCAACAGTACAAAGGTTGACTTATGTTAAAGAAATCTTGTCGACAAGTCGAAGAGTCTGGCAGGTTCAATTAATTTATTTCTTAATACAATATGTATCGCATCTTTGCGCGCGCAAAAATAAATCAAATTATTAAAAAAATGTAAGATATGCCATGTTTTCTATGATAAGAAGAAGTGGATGTTCATTAAGAAGCAATTTTTATTGGATTGCGTGCGCTATAGCACGTCAGAATTTATTTGTGACTATATATAAGTTAAAAATTCATTACGTACTTATCTTACAAACCGATAATAAGAAAAAAAGTTGGAAATGAAACCTCTCAGCAAATAAGCCTATATTATAATTTGTTTCTTTATTGTGTAATAATATATAGAACTATCTAATTCTTCTTATTATTTATTTAATTAATTAATCACTTTTACCTTATTTTTATTTTTTTAAATTTTCTTCTCTAATAATATTAAATATAATATAATAATATTATATAATCTATAATTACAAATATGCAATAAATTAGATTAGATGAAAAGATTAAACACATCAGTCCAAAATCTCAACAAATGTCAAAAAATTAATAACACTTTTGCAAATTTAAATAAATTTTCAAAAAAACACGTGTCAAATGCGTGTCTACGAATGATACACGTGTCCGAGAATGTTGTTCATCTATCGCAAGACAAATGGCGACATTCGATAATTTACTTTGTATATAGTCTCGACGCGTGGAGCAAAGCTCTAAAGTTTATCGGGATATTATCTCGACATGTATTAATTGCAGTGCGACGTGATAGTCGACAAAACTGCTGCGTAGCTCATTATATCTTCGAGTTACCAATATTTCGAACAGCTCGAAATATTAACAAATTAATATATAGCATGTATGTGCATATATGTGCAAATGTAATTGGCAAACATTCCTTTTTCATAGGCTGAGAAAAAAGGAGCATCGCCATCAGAATATGGACTGGTCTTCGGGATTTTTGAACTGGTGGTTTTCATTATTAGCCCAATTTATGGACAACATGTGAGTGATAACATAATTAACGTATATATAAGATGTATATATAAGATTTTCAATGTCACGACATGAACTTTATGCCATAAATCAAATTATCACATTAAATAGATAAAGCTAAGTAATAAAATTTATCCATATATAATTATCTGTATAGATTATAAATTATTCTTTTAGTTTTCAATTCAGTCATAAATTTTTATTCATTCGTGCTTTAAGTATTTAATCTGTGCAAAAATATTTGTTATAAATAATGTGACTATCATTACAAATAAAATATTGAAGAAGTAAGTATTATCAAAAAAGAATGATAAAAATAAAGAATTATAAATCTTACGAGTACATAAAATTCGAATCACAAGTGAACCTATGTAATGATTAAGATTGCAACATGAAGCGTTGAATCTTGCCATTTTTCAGGCTCACCTATTGTTACACGTGCAGATATTTATAAATTACTATTCAATATTATATATTGTCATAGTCACTCTTTAACAAAGAAAATAATCAAAAGTTTACAAATACCTATTTTCAATAAAAAAAATTATACATCAATATTATAAAATAGCATCAATATTATAAATCAGATGGCATACAATCAATTTCATAAATTCAAAGATAATAAGTCTGATACAATTTAATATAATCGGTATAAAATAAAATGAATAAAATAAAATAATACAAACGTTTCGACTTATAATTGAGATCATTATCAATGTAATAACTAATAACTTTTTATTGTATTAAATTATTCTAGAAATTGTATTTAAAAAGTTTACAAAAATGCAGTTACTTATGAAAACTTAATGTACACTTAAATTAGAGATATAACGAGATATCTTATAATTGTTGGTCAATTCTAATGTAAAATCTTTTTATTATATTAAATGTTGTTTGACTCAACGGTCCTCCTACCATGTCTTTGTAAATTTTGTCAAATAGAATCCAAAAAATAAAATGTTCAAATCAATCTTGATAGGATAACACGAGATTCTTGCGCCAAATACTGCATTAATAAATTAAATTACATAGACATTTTAGTGAACTGTTTTACGAAAATCACACCGCAAGAGAACATTATTGTTTAAAAGACAATCAAGCAAAAAATTATATTTCAAAACATTTATAATATTTTGTTTACATTCAATTTTGCATCGAAATGTAAGGCGTATGTGTGTGTGTGTGTGTGTGTGTGTGTGTGTGTGTGTGTGTGTGTGTGTGTG